GACTCCAGCTGCATGAGACATCAAGCTGGCCAGCAGAAGAACCACCCAACTGATCCCAGCCCATACTGTAGAGTTGTGAGTAAATAGTCATTTTAAGTCACTGAGTTATGGGGTGGTTTGTAAACAACCATAGATAATTGATACAAACACTAATTAAGAAGAGTGCACAGACACACACAGAAGAAGCTAACCAAGAAGCCGCAAGATAGGATTTGAATATGTGGAAAAGAGCAACCTAAGCAAAGGAACAGCCAGAGCAAAGCCAGAGCATGCCTCAGAACTGACTAATGATGCACTCCCAGGAACAGTGACATAAAGAAGCATTTTGCTATGTGGCTGAGGCACCCTCTCATTTCTCTCAGAATACACACATAGGTGGCAACCTACTCCACTTACTCATAAAGCCAGTCCTGATAAAAATTATTATCATTTTAGAAAACTAGGGCTAAATCCCCAGGACCCTAATAGGGGCTTCTCCCTTAGGAAGGGTAGCCAGGAACAGCTAGGTTTACACCTTCTACTTTATAAAATGGCCAAATGCTAGGTCTCAGGGTCTTATTATTACCTATCCTGGTCCATCTTGCTTACTACCATGATTTGGTTTCTTGTTTATCTATGCACTACCTAATCTTTGGAGGTTAACTGCTTCTCTGCTATCTGACTTTTTGGTCCTCTGATGGCAGCACCATTGCCTGAGATCCAGAGCTGGACAATTAGCACATGGTACTGTAGTCGGCTGTTCACTTGTCTGCAATCCCCACTAGAGCACGAGCTCCTCAAAGGCAAAGATTTCTTCTGTTTAACATTCTGTCTCCAATGCTTACACAGTGGCTGACATATACTAAGTGTTCAATAAATGTTCAATGAATTAATGAGAAACCCAGAAATATGACAACCACAAACCCAGGCAAATGGGAGTGGAAGGCATACTGGGCATAAAACATCCCTAATATTTACTGGCACTTCTATTCCAGATTCTGTGCTAAGTACTTTATGAACCTTTTGTTTGCTCTTTTTGTGTTTAGCAAGTCTTAACCTCTGGAGAGGTTAAATTATTTATCCACAGAGCCAGAATTCAACTAGGATCCTCTGTTCCCAAGTCCATGCTACACTTTTTAGCTCTCCTCCTGGATATTGAATACTACCCAGCTATTCCTATTTGAGGCTTCACCAAACAGGGGCAGATGGACGGGAGACTGACAAGGGGGCTCCCTTTGAGAATTTTTACTTGGGTCTCAGGAAAGAACTTATCCTTGAGCTCGTGCTGGGGATGATTAGGTACAGACAGAAGACGCCCTCAGTCTTTGTAGATCTTTCCATGGGCAAAAGGAGGGAGAACTTGGCACCCAGCCGATGGTGGGAATAATAAGAATGAGCCCCTCCCAGGCTCATGGCTCTTACTATTCTCTGGGAGGAATGACAGGCAGGAGAGGGCAGCTAGACCTGCCTATTCATCGGGTGGGGCATTACCACTTGACCCTATTTCTCCAAAGTTCCATGATTAAGATCGGGAGCTAGGGGTGGGGCAGGGGCTTGGCATTGGGGATGAGGTAAATGAGGTAAATTCGGGCTCTTGAAGGGCAGGGTGGAGCTGTGGTGACTCAGGGGGCAGGACCCAGTGTGGGGCAGCCTTTGGCAGGCAGGGGCAGATCTGAGGAAAGTGTCTAATCACATACCTGTGCCTGTGGCTTTGCAGGCACCATTTGGCAGCTGCAGTGCAGTAAGGTAACCTGTGGCTTGATCTCCGATATCCTAGGCTCAAATCCTAGCACGGCCATTTACTATCTCGATGGTACTGCCAAAATCATTTGACTTTTCAGAGCTTCAGTTTCCCATTTTATAGTGTGGGACTAAAAAGCTGGGTTGGGGTGATGAATAAATGAGAAAGCAGCTGAACGTCAGTTCCCCTCCAGCTCCCTGTCCTATTGGCCCTTGATATTAGGCAGAGCCTTCAAGGTGAGCTGTATCAGGCAGGGCCACATTTTGACTTTCATGGACCGCTTTTGCTTCCTGGGCTTGCTTCTTCCATAAAAAGATATTAAAAATTCCATTTCATGATTGCACTGATACAAAGATGAATATAATCCAAGCTGGATTTATTATCATATATTCATTATTGTTGCACTCATTTTTCTTCTAATTCTAAAAGAAATTAAAATATTTTTGTGGGTCCCTAAAAGTATCATGGGCCCCTGGCACTGTGCCATGGATAGGTCGGCTCAGATCTCTTCCTTCTTCCTAAATCTTTGAGTCAGGTGACTCAATCAGGGTGACTCAGGACCACGAATTTACAATCGAAGAGACATTTTTCCCCTAAGAGGTTTATTGGGTCAGTGAGAGTGTGCGTTGTACATGACTAAGGTGTTCCTGTGTTGGTCTTGGTGTATCTGCATTTCAGGACGTGGCTATTTTGGAGTAGAGGCAGAGTAGTATGAAAGCCTAAATTATAAAGTCCCTGAAACTTATTGGTTCATTCAACATATATATATATATAATTTTTTTTTTTTTTTTTGGTGAGGAAGATTGGCTCCGAGCTAACATCAGTTGCCAATCTTTCTCTTTTTGCTTGAGGAAGATTGTCGCTGAGCTAACATCTGTGCCACTCTTCCTCTATTTTGTATGTAGGATGCCATCATAGCACGGCTTGATGGGTGGTGTGTAGGTCCATGCCCAGGATCCAAATAGGCGAACCCCGGGCCACCGAAGCAGAGTGCACAAACAACCACTATGCCACCGGGCTAGCCCCCAACCAATATTTTTTTTGAGTATCTACTACACGCTAAGCCCTGTTACAAGAACTGGAGATAGAGTGCAATGAACAAAAAAGACAAAGTCCCTGATCTCATGCATTTCTACCTTCTAGTGAGGGAAACAGACAAGAAATCAAAAAATTATGTCAGGTGGTAAATGCTAAGCAAGGTGGGTAGGGAGAGTGGGTGGTGGAAAGGTGGGAGTGGAGTTTGCTATTACATGTAAGATAGTCAGAGAACATGTCTTAGTCAAAGGTGATAATGGAGCAGAGCCCCAAAGAAATTGAGGGATGTGGCCATCTGGGGAAATAGCATTCCAGGAAGGAGGAAAGACAAGTACAAAGACCCCGTGGCAGGAGCATCCTCAGTGTGCTTGAGGAACAGCATGCAGGCCAGAGGCTGGAGCAGGGAGGGGGCAGAATGGCAGGAGATGAGGTCAGATGGGTGGCACAGGGCCAGATCATGTAGGGCTTTGTAGCCTGTTGTAAACATTTTAGCTTGTAGTCTGAGTGTGAGGAGAAGGCACTAGAAGAATTTGTTAGAGGAGTGACATGATCTGACTTAGCTCTCAACAGGGTCACTTTGGCTGCTTGCATGGAATAGACAGGAGGGAGCAAGCGCAGAAGCAGGGAAGTCAGCTGGGAGGCAATAGTGTGCTCCAGGTGAGTTTATAGTGAGTTGCAGAGGGTCAGCAGTGGTAGGGCTGAGAAGTGGTCAAATTGTGGATATGAAGGTAGAGTCCACAAGATTTGCTAGTATATTATATGTCTGGGGAACTAGATAAAGAGAGGAGTCAAGGAAAATTCCAAGATTTTGGACTGGACAACTGGAGGCATGGAATTGACATTTACTGAAATGGGGAAAAGGGAAAGGTGTAGGGAGGACTCTGAGTATGGTTTTGAATGAGTTAATTTTGAGATGCTTCTTAGACAGAGAAGTCTCAAGCTGAAGCACTGACTAGGGCTCTGTAGCTCCACATTGACTAGTCTTTGGATGTGGGCTGCCCCCAGTGAGAGAGTGCAGAAATGAGCCAAGAAAGCACCTTTCAGCTGACAGCATTGCCCAGAGAGGCACACAGCTGTGAGCCATCAACAGGCAATACTGCTGGCTGCTGAGGGAATACGCATCTTAGTCCTGAAGGGCAGACCTGGATGGCACATCATAGTATCCACTGCAAACGACCTCTGGCGCTGTTCAAATCCACTCCATCTGGGAACAGCTTCTCTAGGATTCTGGTCGGTCTGTTTCCTTGGGAAACTTATGGCAGGTTAGTGAGATGAAATAGCCATCCCTCCCACTGTCCCACTACTGCAACTAGCCTTGAGGCCACAGCCAATACTCAACATCTTCCTCTCGTACAACCTATTCTACAGTCCTCTCATCCTTGGTAGACACCTCCACTGTTCCAAGTGGCTTACTTGGTGGTGTGACCCAGACCCTCATCCCCAAGGGATCTGAGCTGTGGGTCACCATGCCCTTCTCAGATCAAGGCTGCTGCACTTTCCATTTACCTTTACAATCAAGAAGGGGAGAATCAGGAGACATCCTAGCGGAGTACATGAGTGCCAAATATATTCTTCCTTGCACCTCCCCATGTAACACAGTCTACCACATCCTGATGACCAGGGTCAATCACCTGAGCCAGTGTGGTGAATCCTTCTTTGTCTGCTGATCTCTTGGTATGAGGAGCCTGAAGTGACTAGTCGGAAGCCATGGCTTAAAACTTACTGGAACTCCTACAATACTTCCTCCTGGTAGAAGTATTCTCCCTTTGGGAACCAGGGCCTCTAGATCCACCAAGCCTAAAGCTGCAGGGACTGGAAGGACAAGGTCACTGGAGTGATGGTGAGTGAGTCCACTTCTTGGTTCCCGGACCAATGTATTCTGCCTATTGGAGACACAGCACCATACAATGGTTGTTGATTAGGATGAGTCTACATCCTAGAGGAAAATGCCCCAATTCTGCAGGATATCAACTCCAAGTTGGTGTCTCAATTGCATCTTTAAGCAGCCACTTCACCATTCCATCAGGCCAGCAGCTTCTGGGTATGAGACAGGACTAGGGGATACCATGGTCGTGTGCCCACTCCCATACCTCCTTTGCTGACAAGTGAGACCCACGGTCCAAGGCAAGGTTACACTCGATCCCAAGTCAGTGATCTAATGCTCTGTAAGCCTTTGGATTGTGGTGTTGGTCAAGGCTCTACTGGCAGGTAAGACAATACAAATCTAGAATATCAACCAGGAATATATTCTTGTTAAGTTAAATCTGTATTTGATAATTGTAAATGCACATGCAGTTGTAAAAGTTAAAACAGAGGTCCCATGTACTCTTTTACCCAGTTTCTCTCAATGGTACATCTTGCAAAACTATAGTACAATGTCACAACCAGGATATGGACAGTGATACCACCCAGATTGCCCCAATTTTACTTGTACTCATTTGTGTGTGTGTGTGCATACGCTTAGTTCTATACAATTTTATCACAGGTATAGGTTTGTGTATCCACCACACAGTGAAGATACAGAACAGTTCCATCCTTACAAGGATCCCTGTGTTGGCCTTTTATAACCACACTTGCCTCTCCCTCCCTTCCCCTATCTCTAAACCCTAACAAACATTAATCTGTTTTCCATTTCTAAAATTTTGTCATTTCAAAAATGTTTTATAAATGGAGTCATACAGTACATAACCTTTTGGAAATGGCTTTTTTCACTCAGCATAATTCCCTGAAGGTTCATCCAGGCCGCATTCATCAATAGTTCATTCCTTTTTATTACCGAGTATTCGGTGGTATGAATGTACCAGTTAGTGTAACCATTCACTCAGTGAAGGACATCTGGGCTGTTTCCAGTTTTTTGGCTGTAATGAATAAAGCTTCTGTGAACATTTGTGTACAGGTTCTTGTGTGACAATAAGTCTTACTTTTCTCTGGGATAAATGCCCAAGAGTGCAATTGCTGGGTAATTGTATGCTTAGTTTTATAAAAAACTGTCAAACTGTTTCCCAGTGTGGCTGCACCATTTTACATTCCCACCAGCAATGTGTGAGTGATCCTGTTTTTCCACATCCTCACCAGCATTTGATGTTGTCACTATTTTTCATTTTAGTATGTGTGTAGTGATATCTAACAGCTAATGATATTGAATGTCTTTCCACGTGCTTATTTGCCATCTGTGTATCTTCTTCAGTAACATGGCTCTTCATATTTTTTGCCCATTTCCTAACTGGATTTTTTTTTTACCGTGGAGTTTTAAGAGTTCTTTATGTATTGTAGATACTAGTTCTTTGTCAGATATGAGCTTTGAAAATACTTTCTCCCAATTGTAGTTTGCCTTTTCATCCTCTTTACAGGATCTTTCACAGAACAAAAGTTTTTAATTTTGATGAGGTCAAATTTATCAATTTTTCTTTGTATGGATCATGCTTTTGGCATCAAGTCAAAGAACTCTTTGCCTAGCCTTAGTGCCCAAAGATTTTCTCCTGTTTTGTTTTCTAAAAGTTTTATAGCTTTACATTTTACGTGTAAGCTCATGATCCATTCTGATTTAATGCAATATGTTTAATCCCAGTCAAGATAAATTGTTCCCTCTTCCAGGGTGAAAAAGGCCCAGCGTAATCAACTTGCCACAAGTGGCTGGCTTGTGTCTTTGAAGGATGGTGCTGTATTGGGGGCTGAGCATCAGTTTCTGTTCCTGGTAGGTTGGTCGTATGTGGCAACAGTAGCTAGACCAGTCTTTGTGATTGGGAGTTTGCACTGAGGTGGCCAATGACAGAGGCCATCTGACATCAACTGGCTGAGTCATTCTATTTGGGTGTTTGGAGGCATTCTATTTGGGTGCTTGGCTTCTGGTGGTCTTCATACTTCATGCCCACTCCCATAGGTCTATCCATGTCTCTCCCCCAGACCTCCTTGTCCCTTATCTTCTAATCTTTCTTCTCCCTAGTCCCCTGACCAATATAGCCAAGCCATTCACCACTATGAATTCTTCTATATTCTTCACCTCAGGCTATTCTCTTTCTTCACAAGGAAATGACAAATACATGAAAGGTCTGTCTATTATGAAGATTTGCCCTCACCTGTGTTTCAGGGCTGCCCCTGGATGGGCTGTAATGCAGCACCAATCCATTTGTGGCTTGACTAGTCCATGAACCAAGACTAGCCTTTTCTTCCTCTATCAGCTGATCATGAGGGCCCCCCTGTGCGGTCACAAGTGTGAGCTGAGGAAGAGGTGATAGATGACATGGGTGTCTGGAAGCTACATAGCCTTTCCAACTTAGCCTCAAAGTCAACACAGAATCACTACCATATTCATCTGTGAGAAGCACTCACAAGCTTTCCTAGATTAAAGGAGAAGAAATCAGACTCTACCTCTTGACGTGGGAAGAGCAAGGTCACATTGTAGAAGAGTAGGTGGGATGAGAGCTATTGGGTCATCTTTAGAAAATGCTCTGCTACAATAAGGTCTCTCTACTTGGGCTGGTGGGAACTTGAATGATTCCCAGCCCCATATGAGCTCTAGGAATTTTTCAGCTTACAGCTTCTCAGTAATTGTTCTTTCCCTGGCAGTTTTTCTTAGGCCTGGACTAATGAAGTGTCATCCTATGCGCACACAGCCTGGTATTCAGCCAAAGACTCCACTCCTTATACAGAGCTCATTCTCCATGTAGCTCTCTCCTTTCTGGCGTTTATCTAGCGAATTCTAGCTGACCTGGCTTCCCCAAACTCCAATCTCTGTCTCTTCAACTCAGCAAGACCATGGGGCTCTGTTCGGGTTTTCCAAACAATCTGTAAAATTGCAGTGGTGCTGTATCGGGGGGCTGAGCAATCTGAAAATTGCCTCCACCACTGAGGGCTCACCTCATTTGTTTCCCTTCCCTTAGGGACCACAGTCCTACTTACTTATAAGATTACTGCTTCTTGTCCAGTGTCTGGAAGTAGTTGTTTCATATCTTTGATCCAGTTTTTCAGATGTTTATGGTGAGAGAGTAAGTCCCACTTTTCATGGGTGGAAGCAGAGCCTGAATATATTTTAAAGATAAAGCCAACAGGATTTGATTATGAGTTGGATGTAGGTTGTCACAGAGATGTCAAGGATAACTTCAGGGTTTTGGCCTGAAACTGGAAGGGTGGCATTGCCATCACCTGAGGTTAGATCAGATTTGGGGTGGGGTTGGGGGGGATGGGCGGGAGATGGGGAACGTAAAATTAATTTAGTTTTAAAAATGTTAAACTTGAGATGCCTGTTAGACATCCAAGTGGAGATGTCAACTTTTCAGCTGGATATACGAGTCAGGTGTTCAGGTTGGAGGTCAGGCTAGAAATATAAAATTGGGAATTGTCTCTGTTTAGATGGTATTTGAAGCCATGAGTCCAAATGAGATCATTAAGGAAGTGGGTGTAGACAGAAAAGAGAAGTCCAAAGACTGAGCCCTGGGGCACTCCAATATTAAATATTTGGGAAGATGAAGAGGAATCCTTGACTTGTTTGTGCCAACTCTCCCTTTCCCCCATCCCCACAATTTCTTCTCACTTGCATGACTGGGAGTCATCCTGTATGCTCAATAAGCCTACTCTTACTGCTTTTCTGTCACTGACTTCTGCTGATGTGTTTTGTCCTGTGGCCATCCAAGTTTGGGCCTGACAGATCAGTTCCAGGACTGATCTTGGGCCTTGGAAACTGCTACAGCCAATCTATGTCCTTAGAGTCCCCTGGAATTATTTAATATCCATCTGTCTCCATTAGGACTGACTCTTCTACCAAAGTCTAGGTTGGGAATAAGGCAAATGGCCCATGACTTCCAGAGAGAGTAGTGCCCTGCAGCCAGAACCCCTTATCATCTGTGGTGGTACCTCCCATGTTGAGAGCTCAGAAGAACAGGGAAATAGCAGATATACCATCCTAGACCAAGCCAGTTTCTTCTGCCTAAGATTCATCCTGCACAGTATTGCTGTGTGGACAAGTTGGCAGTTTTCCTCTATTCTATTCACCTCAAAGCTCTAAATTTAAAGGGAACTTTGTACTTTCAACTCTAACAATTAATGGCTAGATAGAGAAGGATGAGCCTGCAAAGGAGACTGAGCAAGAGTGGTTAAAGATATAGAAATTAAACAAGAAGAGTGTTGTATCACAGAAGACAAGGGAAGATGTTTTTGTTTAAGAAAGAGGAAAAGGTCATTCAACCATTCAACAGAGTCAAATGCTGAAGAGGCAAGATGAAGACTGAGAGATGACCATTCTACTAAACATGTATATCACTGATGACCATTGCAAGAGCTGTTTCAGTAGAACAGTGAGAGCAAAAGCAAGATAAGAGTGGGTGGAAGGGTAAATGGGAGGTGAGAAAGTGGAAGTATTTTGAGGAATTAGATTGCATAGAGGAAGAGACAAAGAAGGCCACAGATGGAGGATTTGTGTTCAGGAATTATTTTTTATTGAGAGAGTTGAGTTTGTTTAAACAACCATAAGATGGATCCATTAGAGACAGAAAGACTGGATACACAAGAGAGAGATTGGATAAATTACAGGTAAGGTTCATGAAAAAGTAGAGGATGGGATATAGAACACAAGTGGTGGAAATGCTCTTGGTTAGTTAGTAGGAAGAAAAACTCCTCAATTGTAACAGGAAGCAAGAAGGAAGGGTGAAGGTGTAGGCAGGTTTAAACATTTGATTACATATAGGAAGAACTCAAAGATGATGACTTGTGTGGAGAATGAGTGGGGAGGTGGGAGCACCAGAGGAGTTAGGAGAGTGGAGAAGGTTTGAAACAGTTGTTGATAGGAGTGTGAGCTGACGAGTGAAATGTAGTAAAATTTTCAACCACTCTTTGGTCTCACATGGAGCTAGGGATCCTGAATTATAGTAGAACCAATCTGCCTGATGGTAAGACTTTCTTCAGCAGTATTTTGTTGCTTGGGTGCAGGCAGGAAGGAAGCCGATGGATTGGTTCATTTGGTGTTGGGATTTAGCCATACAGGGGAGATGAAAGTCTCTCTCACCTGCTTGCAGGCCTGGGTAGATGGGGATGAGGCAGCTGCCTGGCTCTTCTGTGGAGGCACAGTCAAAGGGAAATGGGAAGAGAGTGGTTCCTCTGTCCTCACTGAATGAGTTTCCCTGCAGTTCACCTTCCAAACTTCCTGTCCCTGGGAGAACTGGCCCTTTGTCAGCTTGACAGATTCCCCATGTAGAGCTCAGCCCCCCTATAAGCCGTCTGCTGTTCTGCAGGCTTGTCAGGAACAATCCCTTTCAGTCTTCAGAGAGGTCTTTTTATACGTGCTGCTTCTTGATTCACACTGTGCTTGTGAGTACGTGGGAGGGACAGAGTTTGACTCCTCGAGGAAGGTCACTGTTAAGGTCTAGTGAGGACAAAACAGCTTTCTTTAATGCTCCAACTCACTTGATACTCCGGTGCAAACACTGCCTATAAAGAGCAATGGGGCTTCTCTTTCCTCTGGCCCTTGGCTTCTGTGGAGAGTAAAATAGAATGGAGACACTTATTTTCTTCAGCTCTGGACTTTTTACCCAAGGAGGAGAAACAGGGCAGCCAAGTTATAATTTGCGCATGTGTGATATTCCTAACCTGGTCACTGGGCCAGAGTTGGCGTTAGGAAGGTAAGGGCTGGTGGTGGAGGATGGAAGGAGTGGTGGAATCAGGTTCTAGCTCAGGCACAGGACTCAGCTGTGGCTTCTACTGCTTAGAGAACAGAGGCAAGAGGGTGAACACAAGAGTGAGCCACTGATGGCTCTGCTGAAGAGTGGACAATGTCCCCCAAGCGGGCTGGCTTTGAGAATAGGCTGGCCTTGGGAAGATAGCCATCCCCTACCCTGACCCTGACATACACACTCCACCCAGGGAAAAGCCAACCCGTGTTCCCTGTGTGTCTCTGCTCCCTCTGGGCAGGGGAACCCCATTAAATGATAAGCCACTATCGAACTGCTGAGGACTTGGAGGTGACTTGCCATCTCTGGGCCTGTTACTTCATCTACATCTCGAGAGTTGAACAGGATGATTTCTAACCTCCTTCAATTTGGGCTATAAATCTGACTGAACTGGAATGATATCAGATTTCAATTGTTTTATGGTCATTGGGTCCCAGGTCTTAATGCAAATTGGATGATAAATAAAGAGTCCCAGCACTGGTCACAGGGCCGGTGGAGGGAAAGAGGGAGAGGAGAGAATAATTTAGGATGGCTCTGCCCTGAAGAAAAGGTTGAGCTCTCATGGCTCTGACTCTACTTTTTAGGCCTCAGTTTCCTCAACCAGAAAATGAGACTTTGAAGTCTAGATCTTTAAGATGCAGTTCTGATTTTCTGTGCTGAATCTGTCTTCTGTCTTTTGAGCCCCAGAGGATAAATACTTACTGAACTATTTGCTTCGCATGTGTGCAGGGCTGTAGTGGAACATGATCCCTACGCTCAAGGAGCTCACAATGTGATTAAAAAGTAATAAGCCACACACACAGGAAAATATAGTATAACATGCAATATCAATTGCCAAATGAATAATACAGACACCCACAGGATGGCTCTCTCTGGGCATGCTGCAGGCTGAGGGAGCCACGATTAGAGCTTGCTTCCCCCCTTGGCCTCCTGCTACTTCAGCTCTCAGAAGGGGCTTCGTGGGGACCACACTGCTGGGTTCAGTTCCGGCTGTACCATTATAAACTTCAAGGAAGTTTACAACCTCTCTAAGCTTTAGTTTCCAGATCTTTAGGAGGGAGTTAATAGAAGCACCTCCTTGCCAGTTGTTGTAAAGATTAAGCGAACTCTTGAAAAACAAGGTACAGAGGGAATATATCTCAACATAATAAAGGCCATGTGTGACAAGCACACAGCTAATATCATAATCAACTGTGAAAAGCTAAAAGCTTCTCCTTTAAGATTAGGAAAAAGACAAGGATGCCTACTCTTACCACTTTTATTTAACACAGTATTAGAAGTCCTAGCCAGAGCAATTTGGCAAAAAAAAGAAAGAAAAGACATCCAAATAAAAAAGAAGCAAAATTGTCTATATTTGCAGATGCCATGATATTATACACAGCAAACCCTGAAGACTCCACCAAAAAGTATTAGAACTAATAAACAAATTCAGTAAGTTTGCAGGATATAAAGTCAACAGATAAAAATTGTGTTTCTATACACTAATAATGAACTATCAGAAAGAAATTTTTTAAAAAATCCCATTTACATCAAAAGAATAAAATCCCTAGGAATAAATTTAACCCAGGAGGTGAAAGATCTATACACTGAGAACTCTAAGGCATTGATGAAAAAAATTACAGAAGACACAAATAAATGGAAAGATATTTCATGCTCATGGATTGGAGGAACTAATATTGTTAAAATGTCCATACTACTCAAGGCAATCTAAAGATTCAATGCAATCCCTATCAAAATTCCAATGGTATTTTTCACAGAAATAGAACAACAATCCTAAAATTTGTATGGAACTGCAAAAGATCCTAAATAGCCAAAGCAATCTTGAGAAAGAACAACAAAGCTGGAAGCAGCACACTTCCTGATTTCAAGCTATATTACAAAGCTATAGTAATCAACACAGTATGGTATTGGCATAAAAACAGGACACATAGATCACTGGAACAGAACAGAGAGCCCAGAAATAAACCCACACGTATATGGCCAATTAATTTTGACAAAGGAGCCAAGAATATACAATGCGGAAAGGAGACTCTCTTCAATAAATGATGCTGGGAAAACTGGGCAGATACATGCAAAAGACTGAAACTGGACATCTATCTTACACCATACACAAAAATCAACTGAAATTCATTAGACACTTGAACGTACGACCTGAAGCTTCATAAAACTCCTAGAAGAAAACATAGGGGGTAAGCTTCCTCACATCAGGCTTGGCAATGATTTTTTGGACTTGACACCAAAGCAAAGGCAATAAAAGCAAAAATAAACAAGTGAGACTACATTACACTTGATAAGGGGTTAATATCCAAAATATATAAAGAACTCATAGAACTGATTGGCAAAAAAATCAAAAAAGCCAATTAAAAAATGGGCAGAGGAACTGAACAGACATTTACCCAAAGACATACAGATGGCCAACAGGTACATGAAAAGGTGCTCAATGTCATTAATCATCAGGGAAATGAAAATCAAAACCACAATGAGATATCACTTTATACCTGTTACTGTTAGAATGGCTATCATCAAAAAGACTAGAGATAACAAGTATTGGTGAGGATGTGAAGAAAACAGAATCTTTGTGCACTGTTGGTGGGAATGTAAACTGGTGCAGCCACTATGGAAAACAATACAGAGGTTCCTCAAAAAATTAAAAATACAATTACCATATGAACTAGTAATCCCATTTCTGTGTATACATCCAAAAGAAATGAAAACAAGATCTTGAAGAGATATCTGCACTCCCATGTTCACTGCACCATTATTCACAATAGCCAAGATATGGAAACAACCTAGTGTCTGTCAACAAATGAAAAGATAAAGAAGATGTGGCACATATATACAGTGGAATATTATTCAGCCATGGAAAGGAAGGAAATCTTGCCATTTACAACATGTGTGGACCTCGACGGGGCATTATACTAAGTGTAATAAGCCAGACAGAGAAAGACAAATACTGCATGGTATCACTTACATGTGGAACCTGAAAAAAAAAAGGTCAAACTTATAGGAACAGAGAGCAGGAAAGTGGTTGCCAGGGGCTGAGGGGTGAGGGAATAGGGAAAGGTTGGTTAAAAGGTACAAAGTTTCAGCTGTAAGACGAATAAGGTCTGAGGATCTAATGTAAAATATGGTCACTATAGTGAAACACTGTATTGCATAATTGAAATTTGCTAAGAGAGTAGAAATTTTATGTTCTCACCAAAAAAAAAAAAAGAGACAAATATGTGAGGTGATAGATGTGTTAATTAACTTGATGGGGGGGGGGAGAATCCTTTCACAGTGTATACGTATAGATCAAATCACCACGATGTACACTTTAAATATCTTACATTTTATATGCCTATTAGACCTACATTTTTTTTTTAAAGATTTTATTTTTCCCTTTTCTCCCCAAAGCCCCCTAGTACATTGTTGTATATTTTTAGTTGTGGGTCCTTCTAGTTGTGGCGTGTGGGACGCCTCCTCGCAGTGGCCTAATGAGCAGTGCCATGTCTGCGCCCAGGATTTGAACCGGTGAAACCCTGGGCTGCCGCAACGGAGCCCACAAACTTAACCACTCGGCCACGGGGCTGGCCCCCCTATACCTACATTTTTTTAAAAAAGGAACTATAAATTAAATTTTAACATGCTCCTAATGAGAAGGCATTCCTCTTTTTATCAGCAAGGAAAGTTTTTAATTAGAAACAAACAAAAAGTTATGATCCAAACAAACAAAAAAAGTTGGGGAGATTATCCATGTAAGACATTTACATAGTGCCGAACACATAGTTAGTGCTCCATAATGGCCCCTTTCCCACCCCGACTCCCAAAGAAGCCCAGCTGTGGGAAAGTGACTCTAGATTAGAGAGGGCTCAGGACAGCTGGCCTGGTCTGATACGACCCTGGCTTAAGGCAAGATCACCCAAAGTCTACGTCTGTGTGTACAGAGGACCTGCAGTGGCAGGAGTAGAAGGAGTAGACCATTGTCTAGGAAGAGACCATGTCTAGGTCTAAAGGTGATTTCTGCTTTCCCAGGAAAAGGCTCCAAGTGCAGGTGGAGTCAGGTCACAATGAGAGCAAGTGAAAGAATGTCAGGCAGTGAGGACAAGAAGGAGCAAGATGGTGGGTATACAGGGTAGGGTCACAATAGGGCCTGGAGCTTGTTCCAGGCACATAAAACAGCTAGTTCTGCCTGCATTTAGTATGGGATCATGGCTCTCTTGTTAAGTTCAGTTGTTTAGTCCTAGTATTTACCCAAACTTTTAAAGTTGCTCTATTTCACAGTCACACGCACACCCACGATAAGTCTGGAATTGAACTGGCCATGGATGGTATAGGACCTTCAATTTGTCTCCTTCCAACTCAGTTCATGACATGAAAAGACCTTGAAGCCATGGCCAATGGAATGCCTGAGTGTGGATAACATCTGAATCCATTACAGTGTGTGGTGAGAAAAATATACAGTGTCATAAAAGGCGGGGGGGCTGGTACCAAATTATGTGTGTGTGTGTGTGTTTGTTAAGGAAGGTTTGAGCCTTATGGTAAATAGTATCTAGTATAGTGCCTAGCACACAATGGACATTACATATGTTTTTTGGATAACTGAACAAATGAGCAGACGTATGACACTCAGTAAATATTTGCTGCCTATCTTGGTTCATGTCTTTAAAAATGGGGAGAATATAATTTCCTCCATAAACAAAGTTGATATTCCTGACTCACCATTAAAAGACAGTTCACTTGGTATTTATGTGGTGTGATCTGGGCTCTAGTCCTAGCCCCATCACTAATTAGCCATGTGACCTCGACTAAATGACTAATTTTCT